TGCTGCTTTCAGTCACCCGGTAAAGACTGAATATTTGAGGCAACAGAGGAGAAAGGATTGAGAGGAATAGGTTTTAGTAAACCTACAAGTTGGACAGAGAGGACCAAAGATCCTCTATGGTGATTTCATCATTCTAAGAGATTGTTGTGGTTTGTAAAAACGTTTAAATATTAAACTAATTTTACATTTACACAAATATTACAAAAATTGTAGAGTTCCCTCTACTTTCACTCTGTTTCCCATTACGTTAACATCTTACATACCACAGTACACATATTAAAGTCAGGAAGTTGATACTGACTCAGTACTGTTAACCATGAGGGCACTATTGAGTTACTGCTCTCTTGAGGAAAGTACTTACTTAAATGGCTACTGAGAGTGAAAACATGTGGAACACTCTTGTCCCACCTGAACAGTAAAAAGAAACGAGAAGCAGATCCACAGGCTTGAGCCCATCACAGCTATCCCGGAACACCTGGGAGTCTGTCCCTCCACCACCACCACTGCTCCCTTTCATTCTCAGCTGCTTTCTCAGAAAAGCAAAAGAATCTCCGATGTTAACTGAGAATTAATGAAAATAAAATGAACTTGTGATAACTGACGCTGTCTAGAGGAAGACTTCTCAGTCATCCCTGATGGGTATTCTTTGCTGAAGGACAAAAATTACAACAATTTAGTTTCAAGATCTTAACTGACTTAAATTTGTAAATACATTTTTTATTTTACACACACACACACATCTCCTATCTGGTGGTTCATTCCCCAAATCCCTGCAGTAGTCTCAGGCCAGGGCAGAAGTAGTCTGGGTCTCCCACATCCATAGCAGGAACCCAACTACTGGAGCCGTCGCCTACTGCCTCTAAAGAGCACATAGGCAGGAAGCTGGAGGCAGAAGTTGGGACTCCATCTCAGGCACTCGGATTTGGCATGCAGGTATCCCAATGGCTGTATTATCAGATGGCCACTCCCACCTTTGCTTTATTTTTTATTTCCTAGAGTCAGGCAACATGTCATTCCATAAAATAGCACACATGTTCTGACTGGCTGAGCAGAGTAAGTTGAGTTTTACAGACAGAGAAGGTCTGAAAAACAAACCAGAAACCAGTGGAGCAGACCATACACACATACTCTGTCTGTATCTACAGTTATTGCCTTAAACCAGGTCCCATTGCCTTAGCATTTCCTGCTTCTGTACCACAGCAGCGCATGAAAGGACACCACATTGTTCAGCTGGGATTCGCTGTCCCTCACCACCTGACCCAAACACAGGCAGCAAATAACTTGTAGAGACAGAACGCTTTGTGGAGATGAGGTGTTGTGGAGCATCATGGAAATACAAATGATGGTTCTCGTTCTGCTCTGGAGGGTTAGTGAGATGGCTGCACAGAGCCTGTGTTTTTTACAAAGTTTGTAAGCAAAAACCAGAACCCAAAGAAAACAAAAATAAAAACCAGAAACAAAGAAAAAGGGGCTTGGTCATTTCAAGGTTACTTCCCTTGTGAGGCAAGGGGACAGGACGGGGACCACAGAAAATAACCTGGTGGACAAGTTTACTCTCGGCAGCCAGTGATGCACCCATGGTCTTGCCTCAGATGCTAAATTATCTGCGATTTGTCACATCTGTTCAAGTGGGCACCTTAAGTGAGTGATCTAAACTCAGTTCAGACAGTGAAATTACTCATTATCTTGGGGTGTACTGATCACGGGTGACTCAGTAATTTTTTCTAAAGCCCAGCTTTTCCATGTTGGGTTTGTAACTGAAAGGCAATGAACAATTAGTGGAAAAGTTCAAGGACTCGTAAGAGAAATTTTGCTCTAGATCAAGCAAAGAATCGTGTCCATCCATGAAGTCTTCCCCCCTAATATATGGCACAGAAATTCATTTTTTTGTTTCATTCTGGAAACAGCATGACATATATATGGATACTGAACTCAGCCACTTCATCTAGCTGCTACATAAGCACTGGAATTTGTGTGTGGGGCCAATCTTCTCATGAACATTATTTGTTGCTTTTTCTTTTTTTTTTAATTCCAGAGGCAAGGAGAGAGAGAGAGAGAGAGAGAGAGAGAGAGAGAGAGAGAGAGAGAGAGAGAGAGATACACAGACATCTGTTGGTTCAATCCCCAAAACAGTAGCAAGGGGGAGAGGGCTCAAACCAGCTCTCCCACATGGGCACAGGGACCCAACAACTTCAGCCAGTGCCTGCTGCCTCCCAGGGTCAGCTTTCACACGAAGCTGGAAGCTGGAGTGCAGCAAGGACTTGCACCCAGGTAATCTGATACCGGACAGAGCCCCAAACACCTGCCCTGCAAAGTACTCCTTACAGCAGCTCCTTTGCAGACCCTGGGCATCCCCTGACAGCTGGCCTGCTCACTGCCTACCTCTTCTTTGAAGTTCCTAGGCTCAGAACTCCACAGAGAAGGTGCTTTGGAATGGCCAGCTGCTCGGCTGCTTTCCCCTCATGTGCCTAACAGTCATTTCTACTTCTTTTCACAGTGAGGTGGGCATCAGGGTAGGGGAAGGAAGGAGACAGCAGCCCAGGTAGATCCTGTGTAACAGTGCCCTAGTTGGGGGATTATCCTGGGACAATTTAAAGGGCAGCTGATGAAAATACAGAGGGCAGTTACTTCCTTAGGTGGAATGGCGAGCTCACTGAATCAGATTTGGGGCTTAATCTGATCATCGTTTTCTCAGGTTCTAAATATTTACTTAGTTTATATTTGCCAAACATCATACACACACTTCTCTCTTCACCCTGCTGGGGGCCCGGGAGGCTGAATCGTATTGTTGGGTTCAGCCAAATCGATTGCAAGATACTGAATGGAAGAAGAGAGCGAGCTCCAGATGTGTTTTCTCCTCCTGCTGCTGCATCACCATGGCTTGCCCATGTCCCCTAGAAAGGCCATGGCTCCTCCAGACAGCCCTCTTCCCTTGAGCTTTAAGGCACAAAATTCTTCCCCAAAATGTGTTGAGCTTTTCTGGGAAAAAAAAGGGGGGTGGATCTTTTTGAAGCCTTTGTAAAATAATTCCCTTACGGGGCCGGCGCTGTGGTGCAGTGGGTTAATGCCCTGTTCTGAGCACAGGCATCCCATATGAGTGCTGGTTCGAGACAGGATGCTCCACTTCCCATCCAGCTCCCTGCTGTGGCCTGGGAAACAGTAGAAGATGGCCCAAGTGCTTGGGCCCCTGCACCCGCGTGGGAGACCCAGAAGAAGCCCCTGCCTCCTGCTTCAGATCAGCACAGCTCCAGCTGTTGAAGCCAATTGGGGAGTGAACCATCGGATGTAAGACCTCTCTCTCTCTCTCTCTCTGCCTCTCTTCTCTCTGTGTAACTCTGACTTTCAAATAAATGAATATTTTAAAAATTCCCTTATAAATGCTTCTCAAATTGTCCACTGTGCCATTTGCTTCCTGCCAGAAGCAAAACTGACACTGCCAAGGAGGGTTTTTTTTTTTAAAGATTATTTTTTATTTCACTTGTTTTTTTGAAAGGCAGAGTTACAGAGACAGAGCCAGAGAGATATTTTCCACCTGCTGGTTCACTCTCCAAATGGTCACAATTGGAGCTGGGCCTGACTGAAGCCAGGAGCCGGGAACTCCACCTGGTTTCCCACGTGGGTGGCAGGTGTCCAAGCACTTGGGCCACCTTCTGCTGCCTTCCCAGGCACATTAGCAGGGAGCTGGATTGGAGTGGAACAGCTGGGACTTGAACTGGCATTCACACAGAACGCTGGTGTTGGTTGGAAGCTTAACTTGCTGTGCCACAACACACAGCCCATGCCAATGAGTTAAGATGAAAGACAGAACTCGGTTTTGATGAAGCCACAGGTGTTTTGGGGCCGTGCTTTTACCACAGACCATTTATTGTCACGATACCTATTTTCAGATAAGGATTCAGAGGCGTAATTAAGGACACTGCTAAAGATGGCCAAGCTGTTAAGGAGCAGAGTGGCATTCGAAGCCAGGCAGGTCTGATTGTACAAACATCAACCTGTTCTGAAGCGGCGGCTCCAGTTACCATCGGCTCTGGTAAGGGACTGAGGGGGAAAAGAGGGAAGGACCTGACCACGTCCTCAGGGGATCGCCTGAATGCCAAGCACCTGGGATACATTTTATCTGAAAAAATGTTCAGGGCCGGCCTTTTGGCACAGCAGCAGGTTAAGCCAACATTTGCAACGCCGGCATCCCACCTAGGAGTTGAAAGTCTGATACTTCCGATCCAGCTCCCTGCAAATGTCTGGAAAGCAAAGGATGGGACAAGTGCTTGGGCCTCTGCTACCCATGTGCGAGACCCGGATGGAGTTCGGCACTTCTCCCTTCAGTCTGCTCTGCCCCGGCTATTGTGGATATTTAGAGTGAATCAGTGGATGGGAGATCTCCCCCGACCCCGCCTTTCAAATATATTAAAAAAAAAAAAAAAAGGTTTTAAGAGTTACTTATTTGAAAGGCAGAGTGATAGGGAAAACAAGGGGGAAGAAGAGAGGGAGAGAGAGGGAGGATCAATCTTCCAAATCCGCTGATTCACTCCCGGAGTGACTGCACCAGCAGGTGCGCACCAGGCTAAGTCAGAAGCCCGGGACTCCATCCAGGTCCCTCAGGTGGGCAGCAGGGACTCAGGCACTTCAGCGATCACCTGCTGCACCCCAGGGTCTGGGTTAGCAGGAAACTGGAAGCAGAAGCCCGGGACTCCTACCCAGGCATCCTGAGGAGGGATGCGTACTTCTCAAGCAGAATTCGTCCCCAATCCAAATTCCTGGAACTGTGTTCCCTTCAGTCTGGTGGCTTCAGCGGCCTTTCCACCTCACCTCGACTGTTACACATTGGACTTCGCCTCCTATTATCAGCCGGGTTCTGAGCAGAGCGCGCTGGAGCGCCCCGCGAAGTCTGGAGCCGGGCCCAGCCTGCAGCGGGCAGCCAATGAGAGGCCCGCGAGGGATTTTGCCCACCTTTGCGTCGATAGGAGGCGGGCTGCAGGGGCAGACGGGACTCCTAAAAGTAGTCTCCCCTTTTCCTCCAAATTAGAATGGCGGCGTCGGTGAGCTTGGAGCCCGCGGGCCCCTGCTGCTGGGACGAGCCGGTGCGCATCGCCGTGCGCGGCCTGGCCCCCGAGCAGCCGGTCACGCTGCGCGCGTCCCTGCGCGACGAGAAGGGCGCGCTCTTCCGGGCCCACGCGCGCTACTGCGCCGACGCCGGCGGCCAGCTGGACCTGGCGCGCGCGCCCGCGCTGGGCGGCAGCTTCGCGGGGCTCGAGCCCATGGGGCTCCTCTGGGCCCTGCAGCCCGACAGGCCCTTCTGGCGTCTGACCAAGCGGGACGTGCAGACGCCGCTGGCCGTGGAGCTGGAGGTGCTGGACGGCCACGCCCCGGAGCCCGGGCAGCTCCTGGCCCGCGCGCTGCTGGAGCGCCGCTTCCTGCCGCCGGGGGTGCGGCGCCAGCCGGTGCGCGCGGGCCGGGTGCGCGCCACGCTCTTCCTGCCGCCAGGTGAGCCGTCTGCTGTGCTACCTGCACCTGTCTTCCTGAGAGGGCGTCCCCTTGGCCCTTGTTCTTTCCCCCGTGGCTCCTTGATGTACACATCCGAGAGACAACAGCGCTGTAGGAAGCTGGTTAGGGAAGCAGACATCAGGCCTCGCCCCAACCCGCTGAAGCAGACCCTGAGTTTGACAAGACCTCCTGCCCTGAGTGATTTCTCTGCACATTTAGGCTGGAGAGCAGCTGCTCATCCACCGTGCACCAGCCCCACAGTAGCAAGAGCAGGGAACTCGTTAGAGATGCAGCTTTCTGGCCCTATCCGATTTAATCCATCTGGACTGTGAATCTGCAAGCAGCAGTCTGAGTTGTGAACACCCTTCCATGGCGATCCCGAAGCAGCCGGACTCTGAAAACCACTGTCTAGAAAAATGGGCTTGAAAGCATGGTGTACTCAGAATTGTTCTCCCATGAGTGCCCAGCTGTTCCTGTCCCCTTGACTTGTGTATGTGCCCACAGGAACAGTGTGGTTAAGGGCCAGGAATGAGCAGGTTCATTTGATATGCAAGAGGGAAATTTTCCTGTGACCCGTTTGAGTGACCCTAATATCACTGTGAAACATGAAAGAAACGAAGTAAAATTGAGAAGTAGTTCTTTGGTAAACAATGTTAAAATAGTGTAACAGATACAAGTAACAAGCAAAGAACCAACAGTGCTAATGGGTGTATGATAAAAAGTCTCTCTCCAGTATGAAATCCTTCCACTTGACCTCAGGGGCAACCTCATTTCCTTCCAGATGATATACTATTTTTTTTATTTTATTTTACAGACAGTGTTAGACAGTGAGAGAGGCAGAGAGAGAGGTCTTCCTTCCGTTGGTTCACTCCCGAAATGGTCACCATGGCCGGCGATGTGCCGATTTGAAGCCAGGAGCCAGGTGTTTCATCCTCGTCTCCCATGCGGGTGCAGGGCCTAAGCACTTGGGCCATCCTCCACTGCCTTCCCGGGCCACAGCAGAGAGCTGGACTGGAAGAGGATCAACTTGGACATGGTCCGGCACCCCGACCGGTACTAGAACTCGGGGTGCCGGCACCGCAGGCAGAGGATTAGCCTATTGAGCTACAGCGCCGGCCCAAAATAAACTTTTATTTTATTCTTTCTCACAAACTTTTTAAAGCACCCTTGTGTATGCCTACAAATATATGGAAGCATCAAATATAAGTAGTGTAAATAGTTGGGGAATGGTTGTTGTTGGCCATTTATGTAGGGAAAAAATTAGATCCCTACCTCACATCTTAAACAAAAATGAACTCCAGATGATTAAAGACCTATTTGTGAAAAAAAAAAAAAGTCAAAACTATTGGAAAAAAAATGTCATTCATATCTTAGGAAGGATTTCTTATGTAGATCCAGAAAGCAAAATCTATAAAGGAATTACAGAAACCTCAGTGAGACAAAGGTAAAATGTATACAACAGAAGATGTTTATGATGCAGTAGACAAAATTATCAGAATCCAGAATTTTTTTATTTTTTAATTTTTTTATTTAATGAATGCATTTTTACATACATACCAGAATATTTTTTAAAAAATATAGGTCAATGACATATAACTCTAGAAAAATGGGCAAAGGATAGAAGGTCAATTTTTAAAAAGGAAAAAATTCAATAAACCTATAAAGAGACTCTCAACTCCTACTTAGTGATCATAGAGAATACACTTTGCAGAGAAAGACTTTAGCCTAGCAATTAAAACACTGGGTTAGGAAGCCTGCATCCAGTATCAGATGGCCTGGGTTTGATTCCTGGCTCCAACTCCCAATTCCACCTTCCTGCCAATACAGACCCTGGGAGGTATCAGTGATGGCTAAAGTAGTTGGGTTCCTACCACCCATGTGGGAGACCTGAATGGAGTTCTTGGCTCCTGGCTTAGGCCCGGCCCAGCCCTGGCTTTTGCAGGCATTTGGTGCAATAAAGCAGCAGATAGGAGATCTCTCACTGTCTATCTCTCAAATGAAAAAAAAAAAAAACTATTGTGAAATAACTTCTCATACCCTTAAACGCAAACATTAAAAAATCTAATGTCTCATCAGTGTGGGAGGGAGTGATTGTGCAGAAAACATGAGAGGTGATAAAAGCACACCTCTTACTATTGCAAACATGCCACCAACAAGGCTTCAGCTCAGAAAGGAAGGGGAGCACTGATTATCAGTGCCTGCTGCACAACTGGAGTTCAATACTTATGTGCTGGGGGGCCAGGATTGTGGTGTAGCAGGTAAATATGCCACCTGCAGTGCCAGCATCCGTATGGGCACCAGTGTGTGTCCCAGCTGCTCCACTTCTGATCCAGCTCCCTGCTAATGGCCTGGAAAGGCAGTGGAAACTGGCCCAAATGCTTGCGGACCCTGCACCCACATGGGAAACCTGGATGAAGCTCTTGGCTTTGGCTTGGGCCAGCCCTGGCCATTGTGGCCATTCGGGGAGTGAACCAGCAGATGGAAGATTCTCATTCTCTCATTCTCTCTCTCTCTCCCCCTCACTGTCATTGTCACTCTTCCTCGCTCTCAAACTCTGACTTTCAAACAAATTAAATAAAGGATTTTTTAAAAAAGCATTATTTGCTAAATGACTGAATAATAGAGAAATAATTGCCTACTGTAAAAGAAAGGCATCACAGTTACCCTTTCTTATCTGTGGATTCCAAATCTGTGGCTTAAACCAACCACAGATTGAAAATCTTCAAAAAACCACAGGAAACACTGTTCTTACTAAACAAGCACAGACTTTTTTCTTGTTGTTAATCCCCAAATAATGTAGTAAAACAACTATTTCCATAGCATGATCATTGTTTGAGTTGTCCTTTGTAATCTAGAGGTTTTAAAGTACCCAGAAATGACTGCAAATATCAAAGCTGTTTTAATATCAGATTTGAGTTTCTACTTTAAAAATAGAAGTAACATCTTAGCTACAAAGCGATTACTAGTTAGATATGAATTACTAAACATTTTCAAAGTTTCAGTCCTTTGATAACTACTCTTTGGATGAATAAAGATTCTCCTAGCAAACATATTTTGTTGTGTTGTTTATACACATGGACCTTATGATCTAGTTTTTATAAAAACTCAAGAGATTATTTAGATGAAATATGTAAGTGATTGTGTGTGTGTTTTTTTGTTGTTGTTGTTGTTGTTTTTTTTCTTTTTCTTTTTTTTTTTTTTACAGGGCAGGGTGGATAGTGAGAGAGAAAGACACAGAGAAAAGTCTTCCTTTGCCGTTGGTTGACCCTCCAACGGCCGCCACGGCAGATGCACCGCACCTATCCAAAGGCAGGAGCCAGGTGCTTCTCTTGGTCTCCCATGGGAGCAGGGCCCAAGCACCTGGGCCATCCTCCACTGCACTCCCTGGCCACAGCAGAGGGCTGGCCTGGAAGAGGGGCAACTGGGACAGAATCCGATGCCCTGAACTGGATGGACTAGAACCCGGTGTGCCGGCGCCGCTAGGCGGAGGATTAGCCTAGTGAGCTGCGGCGCCAGCCGAAATATGTAAGTGATTTTAACAATGATAAACATGATTGGGTCAGCGCCATGGCTCACTTGGTTAATCCTCCACCTTGTGATGCCGGTATCCCATATTGTCGGCGGGTTCTAGTTCCGGTTGCTCCTCTTCCAGGCCAGCTCTCTGCTGTGGCCCGGGAGGGCAGTGGAGGATGGCCCAAGTGCTTGGGTCCCTGCACCCGCAAGGGAGACTGGGAGGAAGCCCCTGGCTTCAGATCGGTGCAGCGCCGGCTGTGGTGGCCATTTGGGGAGTGAACCAATGGAAGGAAGACCTTTCTCTCGGTCTCTCTCTCTCTCTCACTGTCTATAACTCTACCTGTTAAATAAATTTTAGAAAATGATAAACATGAAAATAATTTAATATTCGTGTTATCAATGTCCACAATGAAATCTGTGCTGTTACACCTGCATCCCATTTTGGAATGCTTGGCTTGGGTCCCAGCTCCTCCACCTACAGTCCTGCTGTTGCACACCCTGGGAGGTAGCAGATGATGGCTTGAGTGACAGGTCCCTACCACAAACGTGGGACATCAGGAATGAATTCCTGGCTCCTGACTTCAGCCTAGCCCAGCCCTAGCTGTTACAGGAATTTGAAGGGTGAACAAGGAAGTGGAAGATCTGTCTTGTTCTGTGCATTTCAAATAAATAAATTTTTTAAAAGAAAAACTTAATTTATGATTATTGTGTTTTGTTTCCTTGTTGACTTTTTTAGCGAGTAGGTGTATGGCATCCCACACAGAGAGGGATGGCCTGCCTCTCCTCTCTTAGTGTAACTCTGACTTTCAGATAAATAAATCAATCTTTGAAAAAGAAGAAGAAGAAAGAAAGGCAGAAGCAGTGAGAGAGAAAGAGAGAGAGAGAGCGAGCTTCCATCCACTGGTTTACTCTCCAGATGGCCACTATGGCCAGAGCTATGCCAATCTGAAGCCAGGAGCCAGGAGATTCTTCCAGGTCTGCCATGTGCATGCAGGGTCCCAAGAACTTGGGACACCTTCCACTGCTTTCCCAGGACATAGCAGAGAGCTGGACTGGAAATGGAGTGGCCGGATCTCAAACCAGCGCCCACGTGGAATGCCAGCACTGCAGGCAGCGGCTTTATCCGCTACACTACAGCGCAGGCCCTGTAATTAATTTTTAATTAAAAAAAATTTGCTGGGGCAGGTGTTTAGCCTATTTGTTGGAATCCCCCAAATTCCATATTCGAGTACTGGGTTCAACCCCTGTCTCTGGCCCCTGACTCCAGATTTCTGCTAATGCAGAACCTGGGAAGCAGGAGTGATGGCTCAAGTGACTGGGTTCCTGACCTATGTGGGAGATCTGGATTGAGTTCCCAGCTCCTGACTTTGGCCTAGCCCAGCATTTGGGCAGTGAACCAGTGGACAGAAGCTGTCCCTGTGTATGTGTGTGTCTATCTCTGTTTCTCTGCCTGTAAAATAAATCCTGTTTTGAAACAATAAATTCTTGGAGCCGGCGCTGTTTCATAGTGGGCTAAGCCTCCACCTGCAGCATCCCATATGGGCACCAGTTCGTGTCCTGGCTAGTCCTCTTCTGCTCCAGCTCCCTGCTAATGTGCCTGGGAAAGCAGCAGAGGGTGGCCCAAGTCCTTGGGCCGCGGCACTCACATGGGAGACCTCTATGGAGCTCCTACTCCTGGCTTTGGCCTGGCTCAGCCCTGACTGTCATGGCCATTTAGGCAGTGAACCAGCAGATGGAAGATTGCTCCATCTCCCTCTCTATAAATAACTCTGCTTTCAAATAAAATAAATCTTTCAAAAAATATAGGAAGCTCATGGTAGAGTAGTGGTATAAATAACTTAGCAGTGAACCAGCAGAAGGAAGATCTCCCCCTCTCTCCAATTCTGCCTTTCAAATAAAAATAAATAAATCTTAAAAAAAAAAAAAAAAGAAGCGGACTCTGTTTTCCTTGAGCTTTGGTGGGATTCTGTGACTTCCTTGACCAACAGGGTATGACAGAATGATGCTACAAAGCTCCCAGACTCCTGGCAATGGATGGGAGACTTCTCTCTCTCCCACTCTCTCTGTAACCCTACCTTCCAATTAAATAAATAAATACAATTTGAAAAAAAAAACCACATACATGACAAGATCTGTACATGCTTGTTACACCTGAAACTATGTTCTATAAAACATGAAAAATCAGGTGTAGGCATTTGGCTGCCACAGTAGTCAAGAAGGTGTTTGGTACCTGCATCCCTCATTAGAGCGTCTGTGCTTGAGTTCCAGCTCTGATCTGGATTCCAGCTTCCTGCTAACATACCTGGGAAGCAGCAGGTGATGGCTCAGGCACCTGGATGCCTACCATCCACACAGAACTGGTTTGAGTTCCCAGCTCTTGGCTTCAGCCTGGCCTACTCCTGGCCGTTGTGTGCAGCTGGGGAATGAATCAGTAAATGGGAGATTTGCATCCCTATCTCAAATAAATAAATAAATAAATAAATAAATCTGTCATAAAGTGAAAAGTCTTCCTGGGTAAGGATTCAAGTTGTAAATATATAGACTTAGGGATTGTCAGAAAACATCTTGAGGTAACTTAAAACCTCAGCAAAGCACAGAAAAGGGAAAATGAGGGAAGGCAGTTCTGCTCGCTGTACTATTTGCAAAATACTCCTGAAGGCCAGCGCTGTGGCACAGCAGGTGAATGCCACAGCATGCAGTGCCGGCATCCCATATGGGCGCCGGTTCGAGTCCCAGCTGCTCCACTACCAATCCAGCTCTCTGCTATGGCCTGGGAAAGCAGTAGAAGATGGCCCAAGTGCTTGGGCCCCTGCACCCACAAGGGAGACCCTGAAGTAGCTCCTGGTTTTGGATCAGCTCACCTCTGGCCATTGTGGTCATTTGGGGAGCGAACCAGCAGAGGGAGGATCTCTCTCTGGCTCTCGCTCTACCTCTCTCTGTAACTCTCTTTCAAATAAATAAAATAAATCTAAAAAAAAAAAAGAAGAAGAAAAATACTCCTGGTGTTTTGTACACATGTAAACTTGGTATGCAAAAGATGAGACATTTATAAAGCGTAATAGTTTGTATATATGAGTAAAACACTACATATTGTTTATATATACATATATGCATATAGCATATGTGTGTGTATATGGAGAAAATATACATCATACATTATGCCTACATACCTACAAAGCCATATTCAAAAGTTGGACATTTAGTATCTACCACAATCTACTAAGACTCAATATTCCCATTCTCTATGATACAGCAGTTCCAATCCCATGTTTCCACTATACTGTTTATGTCCATCAAAAGACAAAAGATGGGGCATACGCTGTGGCACAGCGGGTTAATGCCCTGGCCTGAAGTGCTGTCATCCCATATGGGCGCCGGTTCTAGTCCTGGCTGCTCTCTTCTGATCCAGCTCTCTGCTGTGACCTGGGAAAGCAATAGAAGATGGCCCAAGTCCTTGGGCCCCTGCACCCATGTGGGAGACCCGGAAGAAGCTCCTGGCTCCTGGCTTCAGATTGGCACAGCTCTGGCCATTGCAGTCAATTGGGGAGTGAACCAGCGAACGGAAGACACTCTCCCCCCCTTTGTCTCTCTGCCTCTCCTCTCTCTGTGTAACTCTTTCAAATAAATAAAATAAATCTTTTTTAAAAAGACAAAAGATTTTTTAATGTCTATAACACTATTCCTAATAGTTCCAAACTGGGAACCACTGAATGCAGGAAAACAGACTAACTCTTTTACAATCACACATGGAACACGATTGAGCCGTGCTGGTGAATGGCCTATAACCATACCCAGCAATATAGATGATTCTCACAGATACCCGGAGTGAAAGAACACAAGCACTAGAGAAGACGCGTTGCAGGATTCATTCCCGCAAAGTACAACGGGAAACTACCCAGAGGTGCTGCAGTCAGGATAGAGTACCTTCGGGAAAGAGAAAAACGCCTGGAGCAGGACTGGGGTGGCAGCAGGGGGGCCGGTACTGATGTTTAGGGACCCCTCTGCTTGGTTACATGGATTTGCTATGCTGGGCTTGTGACAGTTCACTGACCTCTGCCTGTGGGCTTTTTGTAAGTAAGTTTGCTACAGGGTCCCCCAAAATGCATGTGTTGGAAGGTGACTCCGCAAGTAACTTTGGAGAAAGTTCCAACAGTGGAGAAGTGGGACCATTCAGAGGCGGCTCTGTGTTCGTGCCCTAGTGGTGAGATTGGGTTGTTTGCCCCCGCGGCGGGCGGCTGATGAGATGACCAGTGTGTCCCCTCCCTCCGCCCTCTGGCCGGCTCTTTTGCCCTTCCTCCGTGACACAGCAAGCAGGACCGCAGGCAAACGTGGACCCCCTCGCCCTGGGACTCAGCCTACAGAACCGCAGGAAAGACATCTCTGTCCTTCCATCATCGCCCCGTCCCCGAATCCTGCCAGCGCAGCACACAATGGGCTGCGACGAAGGTCAACTTCAGGAAAAGGAATTGTTGAAGTCGCCGTGGAGCCCATGCAGGGGCTGGAGTTGGCTTTGCTGTCATTCACGTGCCCTATCCCCGCCAGCAGCGCTCCCAGCTTCCCCTCCATGAAGTGAGTGGTGAGAGGCGGAGATGCCCTCCCGGACCGGTTCCGCGCCGCCCAGAACCTCCGCGCGCCCCGGCCCCGCCCCGGCCGCCCCAACAGCCTCGCTCCCGTTATCTCAGAAGCAGCCCGGGGCCTCTCACCTCAGGCGAGCCGCGCGCGGTGCCCGGGTTGGCAGCACCCGACGCCCTCGGGGGCCGCGTAGCTCCCGAGCGCTCCCAGCTCCAGACGCGGTCGCGACTCTCAGCGCGCTCGCCGCGACCTCCGAGGGGGACTCCGGCCGCCACCTCCAGCTTCCTCCCTCCACGTCGGGATGGCGGCGACGGTGAGCGTGGAGCCCGCGGGCCCCTGCTGCTGGGACGAGCCGGTGCGCATCGCCGTGCGCGGCCTGGCCCCCGAGCAGCCGGTCACGCTGCGCGCGTCCCTGCGCGACGAGAAGGGCGCGCTCTTCCGGGCCCACGCGCGCTACTGCGCCGACGCCGGCGGCCAGCTGGACCTGGCGCGCGCGCCCGCGCTGGGCGGCAGCTTCGCGGGGCTCGAGCCCATGGGGCTCCTCTGGGCCCTGCAGCCCGACAGGCCCTTTTGGCGTCTGACCAAGCGGGACGTGCAGACGCCGCTGGCCGTGCAGCTGGAGGTGCTGGACGGCCACGCCCCGGAGCCCGGGCAGCTCCTGGCCCGCGCGCTGCTGGAGCGCCGCTTCCTGCCGCCGGGGGTGCGGCGCCAGCCGGTGCGCGCGGGCCGGGTGCGCGCCACGCTCTTCCTGCCGCCAGGTGAGCAGGGACCGCTGACGATGCCGGGCTGTACAGGGATCGCGTTTGGTCAGCGCAGCAGGCAGTAACCGTGTCAGAGGCCGCCCAGCAGAAATGGAGGACTCGGAGGTGCTAGGTTTTGTGCTGTGCGTTTTACTCGCACTGTCTCTCTTCCTCTCTGCAATATTCCAATAACAGCAGCCCTGTTAGTCTGCTGATGAAAAAGCACATCCGACCTGCTCTTCATCCTGCCCCACAGATCTCTACAGACGGCAGTCAGCCCTTCTGGTCTTTGGGAGAAATTATGACCGTCACGGTGCCCATGGCCACCTCTCTAGAGTCCTGGGCACACGGGGCCTTTCTCCACTTCCTGTGTCCCCTCCACTGCAGATCACACTGAGACTCCCCCACCGGAAGCCATCTCTGGGTTTCTTCTTTGTTGTCTGTCCACGTAGGCATCCGAAGTATCAATACACAGAAACTCAAAGGTTGATGCAACACAACCTGGACCTTTGTTTTGGCTTCTTTTTGTTTGTTTTTTAAAAGATTTATTTGTTTGAAAGGCAGGGTGAAAGGGGCAGAGAGATGGATCGATCTTCCAACCTCAGGTTCACTCCCCAAATGTCTGCGGTGGCCAAGGCTGGGCCAGGCTGAAGCCAGGAGCTTCTTCCCAGTCTCCCAGCTGGGTGCAGGGTCCCAAGGACTTGGGCCATCTTCCACTGCTTCCCCAGGTGCATTAGCTGTTGTACCCGAATCGTCCGATTCCCACCAATTAAGGCCACCAGAGGCAAGGCTGATGCCTGCACAAGAGTTTTATTTCAAACTCGAGTCTGGTCTGACGTCCCCACCAGGCGCAGCTGGGCTGGATCAGTGGCCCCTACTGTAAGGTCGTTAGGGTTTCATACAGTTGAACAAACAAGTTCAGCTGTACAGCATCTGATAGGCTTATATTTTAAAGTTATACTTGTCATTTTATGACTGGCTAAAGTTTAGGGTCCGAGCTGCTAGGGTGTACGTGCCAAACCGCAGGGTTTCAGATGTTATCAATCACCTTAACTGTCTGAAAGATGCTGGAACTTTACGTATTTCCCTGCTATCTGTTAATTGGCTATTGCTAGGAGAGTTTATCGTAAGGGGAGTTGTATTTTCTTTTTTAGGAGCTTTTGGCTTAGGGTTCAGGGCCCGGTCAGGCCCGAGTTACAAGATGGAGGCCTAGTCTAAAATGGCTGCACCCTGTTCCAGGCCCAGGTCTCTCATTAGCAGGGAGCTGGATCCGATGTGGAGCAGGGGACTGATGCTGTGGCACAGTGCCTCCTGCAGCACAGGTAACCAAATGACTGCTGGTTCAAGTCCCAGCTGCTCCACTTCCAAACCAGCCCTGCTAATGTGCCTGGGAAACCAGTGGAAGATGGCCCGAGTCTCTGGGCACATGCCACCCACGTGGGAGTCCCCGAAGAAGCTCCTGGCTCCTGGCTTCCACCTAGCCCAGCTCCAGCCATTGGGGCCACTTGGGAGTGAACGAGCAGATGGAAGACTTCTCTGTCTCTCTCTCTCTGCATCTCCTCTCTCTATGTAACTCTAACATTCAAATAAATAATAAATTGCATATATACATATACATACACATATATATATATTTTAAGGAGCAGGGATAGTGGTGGCTCCCGTTTGTGAACTAGAATGGCTGTAAGAACTATATTCTCTTCATTACACCATCGTATTATAGACGTGTGTCCCTGAGGATAAACACTGGTTCTTTAAATCAGAGTTGTTCAGGTTTAGAAGACGATAGGGAGCTACACCCAAGGAACTGTTCTGAGCGGCCTCATCTGTAGTGGAAAAGTAATGAGACTTTTGGAAGGCCTTATAGGGAGAGCGGGTTTATATTACTGTCAGAGGAATGTGAACTGAAGGGGGAATGCACAGGCAGAAGGCTGACTCTACTTTCCTAAAATGACTGTAACATGTCTCCTTCCAATGCCGCTCTAGAATCTTGCCACACTTCTTTCGAGACGTGGACTCTATGTTTTCCTAGAGCTTTGCTGGGAATGTCTGGCTTGATGTCTTTATACCAGTTTTGGTATAAAAGCGACTTTTCTTGTAAGATACCTGTACACTGCTGTGTGTCCCTGACATCAAGGAAATTATGAATGAGTCCTCTAAGATTATCCTGCTATGATTTTCCAAGGTCTATTCTTAGTGCCAGGAAGAGGGAAAACATATGCTATTGACTCACCCTCAGAACAAAGGTTAGACTTAAATATTCTAAGGACACTTGCTCCTAACTCCTCAAACGAATCTTCTCTGACCTCTACAATGCGAAAGTCAGGTATCTGTCCTTTCATCAACACCATTCTGTAGATGTGGGGCCAAAAGAAGAATCTTCCTTGCTACCAGCAGTTGAATAGCAAGATCGGCTGCTCACAGTTGGAGAAAGTCACCCGATATTAAAGATCACCTACGGGGCAGAAGTTTAGCTTAGGTCAGTGGGCAAGATGCTTGCATCCCATATTGCAGTGCCTGCTCCTGAGAGCAGCTTCCTGATAAATGCAGATTCTGGGAGGCAGCAGTGAGGGCTCAAGTAACTGGGTTCCTGCTGCCTACGTGGGAGATCTGGTGGATTCCTGCTACCTGGCTTTGGCCCCAGCTCAGTACTGGCCACTACTCAGTACTGGCAGTGAGCCAGATGATGGGAGCTGACTCTAAAATAAATAAGTAAATAAAAAATAACACTCATCTAAGGGTCAAAGCATGAGCTCAGAAAACCCAGAAGAACCAGCAATTTTAGCAGTGGGGATCCTTTTTATTATTTCATGTTGTGTACCTTGGAATCTTCTACAAGCACATTGTACAGGTAAAATATTGTAATGGCAAACAAATCTTACTCAGTAAAGAATACACTATTACAGACATGAATTTAATGTCATCCAGTTGACAAGTGATCCATCTAAGGCTATTGAATGCTAGAATCTGACCTTGAATCTCTCAAGGCAACAACAGACAAATGCATCACAATTTAGGGGGAAGTCTCTTCTGGGCACCTCCCAGGTGTTTGCCAAAGAAGGCCAGAATTTGCTTCCAAGCATCTACCTGGGCATGAGAATGAGCCCTGGGTTCCCCACCCCAGAGGACCGGTTTGTTGGGTAATTTGTGCAGGGAAGCCAGGCACACTGGGAAGTAGGGCGGCTCAATGTAGTGCCCAGTGCCAGGGTAAGACATGACCTGGGGGCTGTCCTTTCCCCGTGCCTGCAATCGCTCAGAAATTATTTGGGCATATAACTCACTCCTCCAGTTATGGTCATCCTGACCAACAATGAAGAGGAGGGGCCCCTGGGCCCTCTCTACTGGGATCATGCTGGGGTTCTCACACCATCCTACAACATCATTCTGGATATCCACAATGTCCAGGAGGCCTGAGAAAGCTACCTTGCTCCTCCTCAGGTCGTGGCCCAATGGTGAGATGCTAGTCTGCTGGTAGCGTATGGTTCTGTCTGCGCTGAACCCAGATCCATTGATGGAAACGGTGGCTGAGATATTTTTCAAGAAAGAGGCCATTGAGAGACAAATATCAGCTCCTAGAGAAAAGCCCAGAAGTCCAACGCTGGGACCCTTTACCTGGAAGAAAATAAGTGAGAAGAGTTAAGAGTAGAGAATCTAGACGATACAAAACCATCTTTATAAATGTAAGTAGAGATGCTCCTGGCTTTAATCTGTGAATTACCTACAACCTCAGCCCACAGGGTGTCTCTTTCTTTGTTCGGAGTACCTGGCTGAATATGTGAAAACAAATTTGAATCTCACTGGCAAATTTAGAAACTGGTCATAAATGACCCAGAGAATCATTTTTTAGAGAGGGCTGAAGCATGAGGTTTGTCATGTACAGAATCTCTTTGAAGGAGGCCCCATCCAAGGCTTAAATAGGCTGTGAGTCTGCCATTGTCATGCCACAGGTTAAGTTCTGCTTCCAATCCAGCTCCCTGTTAATGCACCTGGGAAGGCAATGGAGCATATGTACTTAGTACTTAGCCTCCGCCACCCACCAGGAGACCAGGATTCTGGCTCCTGGCTTCTAGCTTCTGCCTGTCCCAAACCTGACTGTTGTAGCCATTTGGGGTGTGAACTAGCAGATGGAAGATCTCTCTCTGTCTCTCTGTATTCCCACTTGCCCCATCGCTCTGCCTTTCCAATAAATAAATACATCTTCTAAAAAATGTGGCTGTGTATCTAACTATGTGGATCCAAACTCAGACCCCATAAATACATTGCCAAATGATCATAGAAGGTAAGCAAGATTTCAGAGTTCAATTAAGTAATGCTTGGTCTCTCTAGGTGGTAGGCAAGTTGATCAAAATAGGAGGGAGGACATACTCTGATGTCAGAAAATCAAAGATGAAATATCAAGCATGCAAAAATACTGAGAAGCTCAACTTGAATTACAAAATGAATTTAAATACTAGTAAGAAACTCTCACGTGGAATTCGTGATTAATTAGGTGGCTCTGACAGAGAGTGGACACAAGAGGCGCCTAAGGCCCAAATTAGTCTCCCACAGAAATCTGTGATCAAACAGAGCAGCACCTGGCACCAGTGACAGAGTCCAGGAAGCTAGTTCTAGAGGTTGATTACATAAAGGGCATGAGGAGAACCTGAGGGTGTTCAATCATGTAGCACAGGGCTTCTTCAAAGTAGTCCAGGTGTATGTCACCATATTCCTTGGGGAGATCTTCAAAGCCATAAAAAGCTAGCGCCATTGTGGCAAAGCCATGGCCAGCCAGCAGGCTAGCTCGGTATTCCACCAGGCCCCCTCCAACACCATAGATGTCGATGACCCCTGGGAAGGGTCCAGATCCTAGAGGAGGGAGTATTGTACAGGGAGGGCATTAACAAGGTGAGGATTCTGCTTTCCATTTAGACAACTTCCCAATTTACTTAGTGGGTTCCTGTGAGAGGAAAGAGAACAGATCCCCGAGGCACTTCTGAAAAGGGATACCGACTCTATAGGGGAGAAACCTCTACAACACAGAGCATCGTCCCACTGATGGTTTGAGCTTCCATACGACTCTATGACAAATGATCTGCAAGCTGTAAGACTCCTAGATGTAAGGGAGAGTAACAAAGCCTCTTCTTAACAAATATATGGTGAAAGGGGTTTCACGTTTTAGACAGTATTGGTTTTGAGGGCTCTGCTGAAGACTGGACATGGGATTAAGAAGCCAGAACGTGGGTGCGCACTGAGGCCCTGCAGGTTAAGACACTGCCCGCAGTGCAGGCATCCTATGAAATAACCCATAAGAGAGCCGGTTTGAGTCCTGGCTACCCCACTTAAAATATGTGTATGTGTATGTATATGTATATATATGTATATATATACACACACACATTTTATTATTTAATGAATGTCAGAGTTACAAAGAGAGAGAGGAGATGCAGAGAGAGAGAGACAGAGAGGTCTTCCATCTGCTCGTTCACTCCCAAGTGGCCCCAATGGCTGGAGCTGGGCTAGGTTGAAGCCAGGAGCCAGGAGCTTCTTTGGGGACTCCCACGTGGGTGGCATGTGCCCAGAGACTCGGGCCATCTTCCACTGGTTTCCCAGGCACATTAGCAGGGCTGGTTTGGAAGTGGAGCAGCTGGGACTTGAACCAGCAGTCATTTGGTTACCTGTGCTGCAGGAGGCACTGTGCCACAGCATCAGTCCCCTGCTCCACATCGGATCCAGCTCCCTGCTAATGAGAGACCTGGGCCTGGAACAGGGTGCAGCCATTTTAGACTAGGCCTCCATCTTGTAACTCGGGCCTGACCGGGCCCTGAACCCTAAGCCAAAAGCTCCTAAAAAAGA